TTTTTTCTTTCATTAAATCATTAATGCTGAGGGATTCAGAAGTGATGAGGAATAAGTGGGGCAAAAACTGAAAGGAGAGGCCAGCAGGAGGCACAGCTCAGCGAGGCTTGCATTGCCCTTGCTTCCTTCAAAGGGCGAGGAGACCGGTGAGCAAAAGAAAAGAAACTCTTCCCCTCCACACCTTAGATTCTAATTCTGGCAAGAATACAGACTTCTTCATCTTACCGCTGAAGCTATCAAGTCAAGTTCAAGAACCATTTCACGTTGACCCCGAGCAAGGGAAGGACTTGGGGAGCCCCATGTGAGTCAGCCTGCCTCAGCATGCAGAGGACGCTGACAGTTTGAATCACGTTTACAGATCTATAAACCAAGCCGCAGTAAATTCCAGACTCCTGCAGAGCTAGAAGTAAATGACAAAAAATGCAAAGCCAACAGGAAGAATCATTTCCACGACCTCTCAGAGCTCAAAGACAGAATGTAAATGACTGTGAGACATATCACTGACTGAAGGACCGGCATTCTTCCAACGTTTAATCAGTCACTAAACCAATATTTGCCTGTGTGCAAGGACCCAAGGCAGACACAGGAACTGCCTGTATGAGTGGTCTGTCAGGAAAGAATAATTAAACACACAATTATAATTATGTCATTCATTATAAGTGTGATGAGTGGCATAAAAGAAAAGACAATATATGGGAACATTTACAAAGAACCCTCGCCCACCTCACTTCTCTAAGGAAAAAGCATTTAAGCCAAGACTTAAAGGGTGAGTCGAAGTTACCCAGGCAAGGAGTCTGTCCATCTTTATTGAGGACTTACTATGTGCCTGGTACTGCACCAGGAATTAGGGTTAGAGAGAGAAATTACCAACAGATTTTCCTCAAAGAACTCAGTCTACTGGGGGTAAATAGGTTTCCATCAGATCTCCTGCTGGGAAGTGATGGGATCATTTTAAAAATGTTCTAATACTCAGAAGAAGTCAACCAAAAATTTTCTTAATTGCAAAATGTTCTGTTGTGAGTGCAGAGAACTTCTCTAATAACTTGATAAAACAGATGAAAATGAGAAACTGCCACATCCCGTGGGACACCTGAAGCTTCACCAAGATAACAAGGCTTGTTGTCTGGGGATGTGCAAGCCACCCAATCATCCAAGAGAAAGGTTAAACGTGGAATTGAATAAAGGGAGAGAGGAGGAGATTAAACTTTGGAGGCATGTAGAAAACTGCTTGGTGATTAGTAATATTAATCATCATCATCATAATGCTAATGACATCTAAACACTGTGACAAACCTTATGGGTACTTAATTAACATATTTAATTCTGCGGGTAGGCACAACTATTTTCCCCATTTTGTGGATGAGGAAACTATCGATTACAGCAAACGAGAAGTTTCTGTTTATGGCAGTGTGGCAGATTAGTAACCTGAAAACTAGAGTCTACAAAGCATTAGACATGCTAAATAGAACGACACATCTGTTTCATCACAAAATGGAGATGGCAAGTAATTTGATCCTCAAGTGTTAAAATCAAAGCATGAACTGTATATTGGAGCCATGAAGAGATACTGCAATTATCCCTTGGGGGCTGATTGGGACAAGTGACCAGACTCACTGAGCAAAGAGCTTGGATTTTAATGGCCACAGGAGGATGAAAGATGAGGTGCTGGGCCTGTGTGGAGTGGGTAGTCAGTACTGAGACTCCTCCCTGTAAAGTTGGGGACTTAAAAGAGTGACAGCCTCAGTACAAAAAGAGATGATACACAGAAATCCACCCACTGGGTCAGAAAGACCATCAAGAAACCTCTCTCTCCTAGGCTCTGGGTAGGGTGGGGGGCAACGGCTACTCAGAGAATTTGTATCCATAGATCTTCCATCACAAGAGTTTGGGGTTCTAATATTAATTTACTGAGAGGTCTGGGAAGCCCGAAAGTGAGAACTTAACCTAAAAAAATTATCTTAAGCAAGAGATATTCTAGGCCCCTTGTAAAACCAAATGAAAAGACATATCTTTAACCTGGACCATTCCAAATCACATAAATAAAGTCTTTCTGAAAACTTGTCTATAATCCAAAATCATAACATAATAGGAAAAAGGTCCATCACAAGTAAAAATCAGCAATCACAATAAACAATAGGAAGACCTCCAAGTAATAGAATAACCTAATAAAAACTATAAAATATTTAAATCAATTGAAGACATAAAGGAATTAATAAAGCATAAGATCAAGATGCTATCACCAAAGATTTGTGAAAAAGAATCTCTAAAAAATAAAAAGGAAATTACTGAAAATAAAATCTTGACCCAGCCGGTGTGGGTCAGTGGCTGAGCGTCAACCTATGAACCAAAAGGTCATGGTTTGATTCCCTGTCAGGGAATATGCCTGGGTCACAGTTTGAGGTGTGCAGGAGATAGCCAATCGATGATTCTCTCTCATCACTGATGCTTCAATCTCTCTCTCTCCCTCGCCCTTCCTTTCTGAAATCAATAAAAATATTTTTAAAATATTTTAAATAAAAATTATAGAAAAAGTATGTTTAAAAAACCTGGGCTATATTAATACAAGGCAGTTTTGTAAGTAAAAGCATTATGAATTAAGGAGGATTCTTGTATAATATTAAACAATTCATCAGGAAGAAATAAAAACCATGTACCTTATAAACATAATCTAAAATGTACTTAAAACAAAATAAAATGACAGAACTAAAAGGAAAAACAGTCTCCAAACATTTTTCAGTGATTAAGGAGACAAAAAAAATCAGGCAAGAGCACCGTTGATCTGATGAACATCATATCTATTCCTGACTCTTGAACATTTAGAGAGTACACATCCTTTTCAAGCTCACAGGCATCGGTTATAAACCTGTCCTCTTAGCTGATCACACAGCATGTCTCAACAAATTAGAGACCACAATGCATAAAGTGAGAAATCAATAATAAATAAAAAGTAAATAGATTTGAAGATGGCAGCGTAGGAAGAGATTAAACAAAGATCTTATATGCATATCTGCATTACCTATGGACACAGACAATAGGGTGGCAAAGGCCTGGGGCAGGGAGGGAACCAGGTGGAGGGAGGTAACAGGGGGGAAAAGAGGGACATCTGTAATAATCTCAACAGTAAAGATTAAAAAAGAAAAACTACTTCAATACTATATATTTAGAAATAAAAGGTTGTGGGGGAGGAGGGTTGACTACCATGGGAGAAATAGTAAATATTTTTTAAAAGTTACTCAAGTCTTATTTAGAGCAAAAAGAAAATACCACATTTCAAAACATATGGGAAGGAACTAAAGAAATTAAAGGACATTTTATATCTGTAAAAGCTTACACTAGAAAGGCAGATTGAACATTAATAAGCTGAGCATCAATATTAAATAGAAACGAAGCAGAATAAACCCAAAGTACATAGAAGGAAGAAAGTAATAAAGTTAGAGCAGTCAAGGAAATATGAAACAGACTTATAATAGAGAGGTTTGGCAAAACACAAAATCTGGTTCTTTTTAAATCTAACAAAGTGATAATAACTGGAGAGGCAGGGTAGGGAAGTGGTAGAAAGCACGGGCTCTGGAGCTGACTGCCTGGTTTGAGTCCCCACTCTGCCTCTTACCAGCCTCATGGCCTTGGGCATGTGACTCACAGCCGGCAATGGTGGAATCACAGCTCAAACCCTGGGCTGCTGGACTGCTGTACCCAGGCACTAATTGGTTATTCTTATGACATGATTTCTGAGTAGTGGACTCTGACGAGAGTGACTTCCTCCCATAACGAAACTAAGGATTATTATCCCAATTTAACAGACGGAGTAACTGAGGTTTGAAGGTTGTATATCATTCTCCCCAAATCATGACGTGAAGAATTGGAGCAGACTCAAGACCAGATCTCACTCTGAAGTTTGTCCTCTTGACCATCATGCTCATCTATGAGCAGATAGGAACATCTCTGTCGACCACTCAGCATAGCAATACTGTGGAAAGCTACTTACTGTATCTCCAACTTCAGGAAAGATGCCTTTTTTAAGGTAGAATGTAAAGAGAAGCGGAAAATGCCCCTTGTTCATAGACAGAATTTCCTACTCTTTCTTACGGTAAACCCAGTGGTTAAGACTATGTGCTCTGGAATTAGAAATATTAAGGATAACTGCTAATACTTATTAGACACGTACTATGTGCCAAGCATAATGCTAAGCTCTTTCAATCTTCACAACATCCCTCTTCACATCTATTATTATCCCGTAATATTAATAACCGCAGGTGCAGAGAAGTTAACCTCCTCCGGCTACAAATTGGCAGAGGCAGGATTCCATCCCAAGCCATCCAACACCAGATGCTTACAGTCTTCTCCACACTAAACTCCAGGGGCCCAACTTCCTCATCCCAATGATTGGATGTGGCAGCACCCACCCTCATGAACTCTGAAGAGGAATTAGACAAAGTAGGTAAAGCTGCCACCAGCACAGTAGCTGGCAGGATGATGATAACGGTGCTGATGGCGATGACAGCAGGTACTTGAAGATCTAAGCCTAAAAGGACGGTGCCATTCCCGATTGCTCCTGAATAACTAACTGCATAAAACCCTCAAAAAGAAATCTTTCTTTCCATTTCACTCCCATAAATCTTCAAGAGGATATACTGTGAAAGCTCATTTTCAAAACCAAAATCATGGCATTGCACATTACGTGAGGATATGAGGAAAAGTATTTAAACAAATCTAACAAAGAGAACCGTGGAGAAGTTGAGGGGAGGGGGGTGCGCGCATTGCCCAATGCAATAACTCTAGCCTTGAACTTGTTTTCCAGAATTCTTGAAGTATCAGCGATGGCAGAATAAACCACCAATTAATGAGGTTGTTTGTTCTCTGTGTGTGAATCGCTGTTGCCATCTACAGTTAAAAATGGGGCATGCAACCCTGCCAAGTAATCCTAAAAAAAACACAGTCCTGGAGGGGGCGGTGCTCAGAAAATGTGCTTGTTCCATGAGAACAGAAAGGGAAAATGCTACCTGAAGGAGCAGCTCTTTCTCCACCACCTCTTCGGTCTTGCTGATGAGACGCTTCTGCAGAGTGTGAATTTTCTCTATCAGCTCATAGGTAGTGGGGTCACTGGCCTGTTCAAGGGAACAAAATAGAAGACATTGAGACACCACCAGTTGAGGTCCCTTTGCAAAAGAATTACTGTTTTATTGAAATCCACTACATACCTGCAGATCCAGTACAGAGTATGTAACAGATGAGATGGTCGTCAAAACAGACTGACCTTTGACTGATGTCTTTCTATTGACTCTGCTTGGACAATACATGGAAAGTGAATATGTTTGTTCCTCCAAGGAAACTACTACTACTGATAACAACAGCAATAATGATAGCCACTGTGCATGATACCTGATTCTCTGTCACAACCAGACACCGTACGAAGTGCTTTTCCTCCATTACCCAATTTTAACCACACAACAGCCCTACGAGATAGCAGGAGTCTTTGCCTTTTACAAAGGAGACAAGTGGAACTCAAAGCATTAAGTTATTCACCCACACACGTAAGGGTCAGAGCTGGATTCAAGCCCAGATTATGCCAGGCTCTAATTACTATGTTCTGAGATTTCCCCTACCTATCACCACCTCTGTTTCCATAGGAATGAGACAGGGTTCCCTAATTCATTCAGCCTCGGGGTTCTCCTTCGATACTGTCAACAAGAAGATGCCTTACAATCCGTGATGGGGAAGCTTTCTAGGATGCGGACTTCTGCTAATAACTGACAGCAGAGCACAACCATGGCATTCAGCTCTCAAACGGTGTTATCAATCAATAAAGGTCTGATGCACCTGCAGTAGCTATCTGTGTACAATTCAAACAAGATCGGCACTTATAAATTGATGGTCTGTCCTCCAGACTTTGAGCCAACGCTTCCCTTTCAAATGTAATGACATTCTGAATTAATCTAACAGCTACATCTTTTCAACTGCCTCCCACAATCTCTATTTTCTAATTTTTAAAATGGAAATTGACATGGCATTGGAAACTCTAAAGCTCTGCTTGCAAACACATGGAGTAAACTAATGTGACAGTAAATGGATTTTAAATCTTCAGCTCCACTTCCCTACACATCCATATTACGGTCAGTTTACTAAACTGCACCACTCCTGGCATTTGAAGAGGAATAAATGAGGGTCCAAGAGAGTGGGGGAGAAGGAGATTCCATTAACTCAGGCTTTGCTTATGAAATACTAAGCAGCGCTGAGTGATGTCCATGCACTGGGACTGCATTTGGCACACACTTTCACTTGGCAAGACCGGGTCTTGTTCAAATCCAGGCCTCATGTTTATATAACAATTTATAATGCATTATCTTTAATGCCTTCTTCATTAAGAAGGAAAACTAAAAATGAAAAAAAAAATACCTTGGCTGTTTTTTACCCTGGCCCTGCTTTTTCTTAAAACACATCCTCTCCCAACATCCTAATTGTTCATTCAATTAGTGGAAGCCCCTACTGGTGCCCACATTGCTGGGTACAACGAGAGGATATGGCCACCTTTTATTGAATAATGCAGAGGCTGGTTTCAGCCGTTACCCGGGGTGCCGGTGGTAACACCTATCAGGAAGCCATAAAATAAAATAGGAAGTTTACAGGCATACCTCGGAGGTATTGTGGGTCCCAACCCAGAATAAAGCGTGTGATGCAAATAAAGCAAGCAAGTCATGATCTTTTTGCTGGTGGATGGGTTTGCCTTCAGTGTGTTTAAAAAAAAAAAATCAACACTGGTGAAGAGCAATACAATGAGGTACGCCTCTATTATCCATCGCCTACCAATGGACTTTGTCTGGGCTCCCAAGATCCTAAGGCCGTGGTCGGCAAACTGGGGCTTGCGAGCCACATGCAGCTCTTTGGCCCCTTTAGTGTGGCTCTTGCATAGATACCACAGCCTGGGTGAGTCTATTTTGATGATATGGTGTTAGAAAAAGTTTAAGTCTAAAAAATTTGGCTCTCAAAGAAATTTCAATCATTGTACTATTGATATTTGGCTCTATTGACTAATGAGTTTGCTGACCACTATCCTAAGGGAAAAGGTTTGACTAACACAATGCTAGTCCTTCAAAAAGAAGGCAATTTCACAAGAGCCTTTATTTCCTGCATGAAATAAAAAGATGCAAAGACCAATTGAAACTTGGCTAAAGACACTGGGGGCCAATATAACTATAGATGCAACGAACTATCTGAGACTAACAGGCGGCCACGGGATACTAGCTATTTGAGCAAAACATGGCAAGAAGAGAAAAACGAATGTCCATTGCCGAAGCCAGTTCATGACTTCCACTAAGTCTTCTTTAGGCAGAAAGAACTGTGTCCAAGACTGTTTAGACAATCCCCAAGTGAACCATCCGCTTCTGGGAATGCCTGTTCTTCTTCTGGGAACTCAATTTGCATTCGATCCAGTCTTACATTTTAGGGAACAATTTGCATAACTTTCAATAAAACCAGACTTCGTGTTGTGCTTCAGTTATGGAGCCGTGCGGGGCAGAAGAAGGGATTGGGGTGTGAGAGGAAGGCTCTGCCAGGGCTTACCTCGAGCTTCCTCCACCTGTGCACGTTCATGGGGTTCTCCAGCTCCTCCTCCAGCGCCCGGCAGCGTGTCCGCTCCTTCATGAACTCTCTCTGCATGTGAAACAGCTCCTGCCTGAACAAGGCACACTTCATTTGCAAAAGGATTCTCTACCCATTTGAAAACCTCATCTTTATGTGGTTCTACATATATGCTACATCTTATATAAAAAGTTGGAGTTAAGGAGACTTCTATGAACACTGAGACCAGACTCCTAACCAGAGCCAGATACAGAGGATAATGATTTTTGCAGGGCTCAAACTTCAGCCTTAGCTTAAAAAAAAAAAAAAAGTGCCAAAGCTTCAGAATCATAATTCTGGACACCCAAGCAATTTAGAAGTATCTGGAAAGAGTAGGGAGAAGGTAAATTACAAGGATTTCAATATACTTTCAAAAAAATATTTTTTATTGATTTCAGAGAGGAAAGAAGAGGGGGAGATAAAAAATATCAATGATCAGAGAGAATCATCGATTGGCTGCCTCCTGCATGCCCCCCACTGGGGATCAAGCCTACAACCCAGTTATGTGCTCTTGACTGAAAATGAACCTGGAACATTTCAGTCTCTTATCCACTGAGCCAAAACAGCCAGGGCTCAATATACATTTTATTTTTTTTAATATATTTTATTAATTTTTTACAGAGAGGAAGGGGGAGAGAGAGAGAATCAGAAACATCGATGAGAGAAAAACATTGATCACCTGCTTCCTGCATGCCCCCTACTGGGGATATGCCCACAACCAAGGTACATGCCCTTGACCAGAATCAAACCTGGGACTCTTAAGTCCGCTCTATCCACTGAGCCAAACCAGTTAGGACTCAATATACTTTTTAATGTTTCTAAATGTCTTACAAGCAGCAATAAGAGCACCACCTACATTCCACCACAAGGTACGGCACTTGACTGCAAAATATTGAGGCTTAGATGATAACCTGGCCCATTAGAATCACCTGGGGAGGTTTGAAAACTTGCTTTGCCTGACCCTTATCCCCAGAAAGATTCTGCTTTACTTGGTCTTGCATGTGGCTTGGATTTTTTAAGTTTTAAAATCCTAGTGGTAATTTCTAATATGCAGCCAGGATTGAGAAACACCGAGTTAGGAGTGATGTTTAATGTTATCTGGTATTCCATAACTATACAGATGGCTGAAAGACTAGCTCTGGCTCAAACTAAAATCTGTGGGAATCTCTGGTTAGTAGGCAATGTGCTTCAGGCACCCCCAGTACCCCATGAGCTGGCTACCACCCTATTGAATAAGTCGCTTTGTTGGGGGGGGGGAGGTTGAGGGGGGGGAGAAAGAGAAGCAAGCACTGGCATTGAAACGGACCATAAGGATGGACAATACGGAATTATTATCTGTCCTCGTCTGCTGTGGGTGTGCAGATTACCAAAACTAAGCCATCTCTTTTACTTAATTGCTTCATTTAAACCAATAATGCAACTTCCCCTCATTAGCAAAGCAAACCATTAGAATTAACTGCATCAGGCTCACTCAACAGGGAGCTCAGAACAAGCTGCTTGGAATTAAAAGCATATTTTTAACACTTCTATTTTCTAAAGTGCCATCAGAAGAGAAGGGCAAGAGCATTAGCTACTAGACTCTGTGGGAGGCACATTCTGTTTGTTTTCATGTTTAATTGTAACTACAAGTCTTAAGCCCAGAGAAGTTAAGTGACTTTCCCAAGGTCACACAGCTTGAGATTAGAATTCATGCCTGCTTGCCTCCAATATCTTTATTAAGTTGTCTTCCCACTGAAAATAAAAACAAAATCTATTATCTACAAGCCAGCAATCCTGACTAGGAATGGGTAGAATTTGGTCCTTTGGATATATAATAAAAATAACTCATGGCTGGCAAGTTTAGTAATGGTCTCAGAGATCATTCAGTAGCTACTTAGAATGAATCCATTTGTCTCCAAAAAGCCAATGATGGTATGAATCTCTGGGTAGTAAACTTATGAGTAATTTTTCTAATTCCTTCTTTATATAGTTTCTGCACTTCCCGCATTTTTCTACAATGAATTTGTATTACTCTTATCATCTGAAATACTAGCAAATCTTAAAGGGGGGAAAAAAAGAGTATTGATATATCCTTGGTAGTGGCAACTTCCTTTGCTATTCGTGAACATATTCACTGCATCTAAATAGCAAAACTATTTTCTAATTGGATTCATTTAAGAAGGCAATCCAAACGGTGTCCTTGTCCCAAGGTTATCAAGGATACTGTTCATCTACAAGTCTGTGGGGACTAAAGATAGTTACTGAGCAAACACCAACCCTCTTATTTGGTTCCTGCAATTGCCTATATAAAACATGGTGATGGTTTCCCAAAGGGAAAGTACATCTTACATAACGTAAGATTTAAAGCAAGAGGAAGGAAGGCACACTAAGCTAAAGTGAAAGCTGCAGGAGATAAATCAAGAGTGAGAAATAAAATTTGGCCGCCTTCTAAGGAAACAGAGTTTTTAAATAGTGATAAAATTAAATGTACCCCCTCTTTTCATTCTGAATATAATTCCAAGAAAAAATATGTGCAAATGTTACCAGGATTAACTTTAAATATTGATGTTCCATCTCTTGGGTATTGCCTTATTAAAGAAAGTCTAAAGAGCTCACTGGGGGAAATTTTTTTTTTTCTGAATTGTAACTAGTTCGTATTTGTAATTTGACTTGAAATGTCTTCTTTTAAATTCAAAATTAAATTTAAAAAAACTTTTTGCAGTCACTTATATTCCCCTGAAAGGGAACAAATTCTTTGTGTGTGTGTGTGTGTGTGTGTGTGGCATAGAAGGGGCACAATGTAGATTCTGAATTATGGAAAAGTTATTATTTGCCAATAATTTCAATGTATAAAAAATTGTGTACAACTTGATAAAGACCTCAATGATAAACAAAAGGAACAAAAGGTCATGTGGCTGGTGTGGCTCAGTGGTTGAGCATGGACCGATGAACCAAGAGGTCACTGTTGGATTCCATGGTCACTGGTTATAGGCTCAATCCTCAATAGGGGTTGTGCAGGAGGCAGCCAATCAATGTTTCTTTCTTGATGTTTCTATCTTTTTCCCTTCCTCTCTCTAAAAACAATAAAAACATTAAAAAAAAAAAAAAAAAAAAAAGGAACACAAGGTCATTTCAGGAACTCTCCACAGACTCCTGTGCCCCCAGTTCAGAGGGGTCTCCTGTTACCTGAGTTCCTCGACATTAGCCACACTCCTGGCAAGAATCCCCTTTTCCCGGCGAAGCTTCTTGATCTCAAGCTTGAGGATCCTCATGTCCTCCAGCCTCTGGTTGTACTGGGTCTCTCCTTTATTCAGCACGGACTGTTGGATCTTGATCTTCTCATAGAGCAGAGCCAACTCATCGTTGCGACGAACAAGCTGTGACCCGAGGATATCTCTCTCGCCGATGACCTAGAAAGATAGGGAAGGACATGGCCACCAAGGGACAAAAGGTCTCACTCAGCATTCATTCAGTCAACAAATACCCAGCCAATGGCCACATGTGCTCTGCACCCAGGGGATAGGGTACCGGAAATGGTCTGCTAGTCAAACAACACTGCGCTCCTCCCATGAGGGCTTGCAATCTTGTTAGAAAGAATACAACATATATTCCATCATAATAATAATTCAATAATCCTTGGCCTATAGGTATTGAGTCTTTTTTCCCCCCAATCCATCTACACTAATAAAAAGGCTATGTGGTCATCACGCCCTCAAGCCGTGACGCCCTCACGCCATAACAATCCATTACCAGGAGGCTGCATGCACAGAGAGGCTGGGGGGGGGGGGGTGGCCCAGCGGCTCCATGTGCAAGGAGATCGAGTGTGGGGCTCCCGCACTGATAGTGCTCAGGCCAGGCTGGGGGGGAACCCCAGCCCCAAGTGCACAAATTTCATGCACCAGGCCTCTAGTTATTTTATAAATGCTTCCATTTGAGTGACTTATCATGGGCTAGCTTTTGCCACATTGCATCAGTCCTTACTGTCTTACACAGGCAATTTCTTCTTTTTAACCGGCCTGTTCTTTGAAAGCATGTTTGTAATCCCCATATTATGTAATTATTAATTACAATTATATGCAAGCAATTATATTACACTAGAATGTTCAGCTCCCTGAAGACAGGAATCTTATGTTCTTATTGGTCAATGGATCCCCAGTTCCTAGAGGAGTGACTGTCACATAGTAAGTACTTGTAGATATGACTTGGATAAATAAATATTTCATAATTAATCAAGAGAAGATGAGCCTCTGCTACTGTTCTTTCAATAAACTGAGTGGAAGAGCTTAGAGAAGAATGCGGACTTGTGAAGAGTTGAATCAAAGAGTTGTGTCTGCTGATGAGGTCTGTAGATCTGGTGAGGAGATGTTCCTACCTGGTCTAATTCCTTCTTCTGTCTCAGCCTCTCCCCATCAGCCTCGGCAATAATGCGCAAGAGTTTTCTCTCTTCAGCTTCCTGTTTTTCAATGAAGTGTTTGGTCTCCAGGGCTTGTTGTCTCAGCTTCTGCAGCTCGGCCTGAGAAACAGTGAAAGATACGGGCAAATTTCACTCTGTAACAGCACAAGCCAGGACTGCAAGGTCCAGAATTAGATGTACAGTGAACTCCTCACTCTCCTCTGATGTTTTAACATGGTTTGATCACTCTCACAATCAAAACAATCTACACATACACACACACACACACACACACACACACACACCACAGCCTGTAAAGAAACAGCAATGCACATTACAGTGATCATGTTTATTCCATGAATTGTACCCTTGGGAGATTTCCATCATTTTTCTATATGTGTGAGCAGGATCTTCGTTGGTATTCAGCAGCACTTCTCTAACCAACTAAAAATGAGAAAAAAATCACAAAGAATAATGCAGCAGAAGATGCGGGAGTGAGCATGGTGAGGTCTCTTTGTATGTGCCAGTTCCTGTAATGGTCCTAATACTACCAGCACATCAACTACAGAGATAAAGACCATTTTAAGAAAAAATTAAATTAATAAAGATAACAGCCTATTGTCTATCTTATAAAACATCTTGATGGAACAGAAGAAATGTCATGCATAAAAAGATATGTAAATCCTACTCCTAAGATGCTTCCAACCTAGATGAAAAATAAGATATATAAATGTTATGCAAATATGAAGAAGTCCAGGCAATAATGTTTCCATATTGTTATTGTCACAAAGACAGCGACTTGATGTTACAGGAGGTCAGAGGATTGGGATTGTCAGGGAAACTTCCTGGAACTAAATGCAGATCTTGCACCTCTTTAGGTTACATGAACTCATAAGAATGATGGAGAAAGGGTGTTATAGTTGCTAAGTTTCAGAAGGAAAATTCCTCTAATCAAAAAAATACATTCACTTCATTTCCACAAGTGTATTTGTGACCTACAAAATCCTACAACATTTTAGACATGATATTGGGTATTTTGCATAGCTACTCGTATTCCCATTTCACAAATGCAATTACAGGGACAAAGAAAAGCAAATTAACTCACCCAATGTCACACATCTAGTAAGTAGCAGAGTTGAGATTCCAACCTGGATCTTTTGGCCCCAAAACTATCATCACACAATTCATCTAAGTCAAATACAGAAGAAGAGTAAGGCATGAGGGTTGCTCTAGCCATTGGAGATGATGAGTATAACCAACGACACGACAGTGTGGAAATGCTATGAACAGTATGAAAAAGGGCATGGGGTACACAGGAATAAGTTCCTGTTTCTGCCTGGTGTTTACATGAAATAGCCAGTCAGGGCCTTAGCGGGTAAAAGATATTCCCAAAGGGGAATGTTTTATGGGGAGAGTAGCTTACAGTCTGGCTTGTGTGAACAAAGGCGCATGCGAACTCTAAAGTGCCCAGTGCACTCACCAGTCAGCAAAACATCCCATATGGCTGGATTAAAGTGTTAGGTAGAGAACAGCAGGTGGTAAGGCTGGTCAAACAGCTGAGCCAGCCTGGAAGGGCCTTGTAGGCCACACACTGTAGAGTGTAGGCAAAGGGGAGCCACAGAGGTATCCATGCCCAAATTGGAAAAACAGGTGTTATCACAGACCAGGGGAGCACAAGAAGAAACAGACGGGAGGAGAGCACTGTTTTACCCATGCCGAGAATCACAAGGGAGATCACAAGACAATATTAAGGTTTTAACTCTTCAATGGCTTGCAGATCAGCAAATGACAGTGAAAAAGGAATAACATTTTCTTTCAAGGAAATATTAGCAAACCCACCCTCCCTACTCATGAATCTCGCTGGGATGCTAGAAAAGCCATATTTGCAAGTGCCTGTGAACCACCCCAACTTTTCTTAAGGTCTGCCTCTAATCCATGAAGACTAAGAGTCATTAACTCCATACTTCAAACTTATCCAAGCAGTAGAAGATACTGGGCGATGCCACAAATGTGTAATGTGTAAATGTCACAAACTAAATGCAGTCAGCTACTGTAAAAAAAAAAAAAAAAAAAAAAAAAAAAAAAAAAAAAAAAAAAGGGCTTCTCTTATGACACTTTGTTTGTTCACTCATGAAATACGTTCTGGTCCAAGGATAAGCAAAAGGAAATACTTACTGAGAAAATATCTGGTTTAGTATTTACCACTTTGGGGGATTGCCTGTTAGGAAAGCGTTTGAAGAACCAGCCTTACGATTTCTATAATCATTTAAGGTGACAGTGAAGACAGCAATAAAATACCTGCTTGGCTCATGCTTTCTTTAATAAAACTTTTATTTTCCCAGATGTGTAACATTCACTTCCCTGTTCTTAAGTGCCAAGAGCTGATCAGAATCCATCAGCAGAACAAAATGAAATCCCTGTTATATTAAAATGCAATCAGTGGTGTGTAGAAGTCTCTGTCTGGAATGTAAAACCGCTAGTGCGTTTGGCATTGCTGGGTGTGTTTTTTCATAATATATCAAAATTCTGGATGGTCTCCTTATGTCACAAATTTATAGGCTGTAAACAAGATGTGGCATTAGGTGTTGGCAGCAAATGTTAACATCAACACAATACCTTTGGACTAATGCATTTAGCAGCTATAAATCTGAGCTGTCTCACCCAGAAAAATTGGTAACAACTTCTCTGCACCCAAACACCCATCAAGCAATGTTGTAGGTAAGGTATCAGCATTTCTCAAAGTGGGGTGAAGTTGTAATACGGTAGTTGGACACATTTTTTAGTCACTGCCTCCATAATTATGCCGTTGTGTAGTAGTTGTTTATGGAATATTCACCATCTAACCTGGTTGCAAGCATAAACCATATCTCCAGAACAACAAATGTGGGAGTTTCATCCATTCATACATGATCTTGATATTCACTGGGCTTCACAGAAATCATGCATTTACCAAACAAACAGGGGCACATGAAGCCCTCTCTCCCTCCCTCCCTCTCTTTCTCCTCTCATCTCCCTCTCTTTCTGACAGTCCCCATCTATGTCATTCTAGAGTCCACTAAGTAAAAGGATGTGATGCCCTGAAGCCAGTCACTAATGTGATCCTCAGCTCTGGACATAGAGAATTTGCTGCTGAATTTCTCACCAGAAATCAAAGTGCTGTCAGATTGATGTGGGATGATTGGGAGGTGACGAGACAGAATCAGGGGCTTGTTAGGACTAGAGAGCAGACACTCCAGATGAACTGGCTCCTTCAGTGCTGATGAAACAAGACTGGGACAGACTGGATGCAGCCACATCTACCGAGAACTATTGACATTCTGTCATAACCCTAATGCGCTGACAGTGGCTAGTGTCCTGAGGAGTCAGTAGAGCCTGGTAGCAACTTAAAAGGGAAAAGAAACATGAAAGGAGGAAGATTTTTTTTCTTTTGAGCGGATTAAAAGAGAATAGGGATGACCGATTGTAGGCAATGGTTTATCTGTTGGCTTGGAGAAGTAGTAAATTGTGTTATCCTGTCAAAAGGCACCTCCCGGTCTACCAAACAGGTGAGAGGGCCTGCCTTCCAGGAAGATTATGTACCCACATGGCTTTGTAGAACTCACAACAATAAGCTAGATGTTTCTTGGAGCAAAGTTACTAGGAAGTAACTGCCCTTCCCCTCGGGGTTTTGGTGTTTGAACTACAGATGCATGAAATCCAGAGACATGTGTGGAATATGATTCAAATTTAAGGCTAAAAAAGTCAAGAGGCTCAGACTCAACATTTGAGCTGTCATATTTTTCTACAGAATGTCAAATGGGCTTAATGATAGGCCAGAAGTACCCAGTAGAAGCACCACTGCAAGTCACCCTTGGATAACCTTAAATAATAAATCAAGCTGGCATCCTTTTTCTGTTTCTCATTTTTGCCTTAATGGGAAATGCTGGGGGGAAAGGTATCATAGTTTCACAGTACGTCCAAAGCAATCATCTTACTATAACTGATGACCCAAAGCTACGCAGACCCAGGATTTCCCACTTAGAGCAGACTTTCTGGAGCAGACGCTCTTTAATCACCTTTCATGTGCACCAGCTCTGTTGGATCAGAACCAAAAAAACAGGGTCCTATTGACCTTGTTTTATTTTATTATGATGCTTCTTTTGGAGCTATACGTCTGGATGCCTAGTGATGGAATGCATAAGTGAAACCAATGTTAACCGAAGTCAAACGCTAAAGAATTAGGAAAAATTGCTCTTTTGCATAGGACATTGCTTATTCTAAAGCAGGATTTGTATGGGTTAATAATTAATCTTTTAAATACTAGTAGAGCATTACTTGGGAAAGGAAGAGATGAGGATCAATGCTATCCTGTAAAAGGAAAGAGATCGTGTACTAGATCAAGTTATACTGAAGCCTGGCTAACATGGGTCCATGAGGCCACAGGTAAAGTGATGTTTATAAGATTATTCTAAATAATTTAATGACAAATAAACCCATTTCCACTACAGGCTTCAGAGTGGAACAAGATAACTTCTATAAAACTAAACTTTTGAACAAGGATAATAAGAGCAATGATGCAGGAAAGTTTCGCATTTTAGAAAAGGTATTCATTTATAAATAAATAAATATATATAAATATCAATTTTAATGCAGAATCTTGTATTATTTTTCATCATAAGCTAGAGTTGGGAGATGAAAGTCTCAGACAGGTAAGTGTAATCAATTACATATTTTTTGTAAAGATGCCTTTCTTACATGTTAATCTTTCTCAGACCAAATGTGCCTTAATTTAATATAATGTTAGTTCTAGTTCCATGAAGACCTGTCATTAGTTTGCGAAACCCTTTTTGAGAGTGCATATGTCAATTGATGGCATCTTAGAATCAAGGATATATGGCATTAAATCTGTCCAATACAAAGATATGTGTATTAAATCTGATTACACATTTTCAAGGTAATCTGATATACTCTGCAAGCTAATATGTGCAGAAACCAAGGTATTCGGTTCTCTTCTTTGTTACAGATAGTTCCTGTGAGTGGCTCATAAGCACCCATGAGTATTCTGGATGTATATTTTCAAAATGAAGTGCCATCATCCTCTCAAAAGTTCCTTTTTTAATTCTTTGGTCAAATGGATTAGAAGAGAAATCTATTGGATTGAATAAGAAAAGGAAAATAGATTAGGTTTAGTAAATGTGTATAGTAAAACATATTTGGTTCAAGAATTTGAAATAGTATAATTATGTTGTATGTATTCTTAAAGATAGATTTATGTTAGCAGACATAAAATGTCCTAAGTTAGATTTAAAACTATGTCTTAGTGTGTGTGTGTGTGTGTGTGTGTGTGTGTGTATGTATATATATACACACACACATCACATATATGAAGTCGGAGGTAATTCCCTGGAGGAGTTGCTACAAAGTGTTTAGATCCAAAGAGGGAAGGTGAACTGTGAACCTGAGGTGAGGGAAAATCAAGTGAGAACCCAATACCTAATGATATCGTGGGCAGAAAGTCATGCACAGGTGAAGTAAATAGGAATTAGGAGCGGAGGGACAAAGGGTCTTGCCAACATTGCCTTACAGAAGGCCCAGGGAGGAGAATAGGAGGGCTGGGCCTGTGATGTCAGTGCAAAGGGATTGTGGGAAGCCTGCAAGCTCTAGGACTTCCTGGGCACTGCTGACCTGCTAGGCTCTCTTCTGCTGATGTTCTGATAACCAACATAGCTGAGCCAGGTGTCTGTGCATCTCCACCAGCCTCGTCCTTACTTACCTGGGAGCATTCCTGTAAGGAAGCCTGACTTAGAGGTGGTAGAACTCATCCTTCTGGCACCTCGGCTGTCCTCCCTCCCCCTTGTTGCCTTCGGTGAGTGTAGAGCCTGCCTCCATCCATTGGATAGAGAGACTATTGGTCCATCACGTTCACTATGAGATCTGTACCTTCAATGTTTCCTTCTCCTTCTCTATGCGTTGCTGTTCCAGATGTAGCTTCACAAGCGCTGACTCTTTGGAAGAGATTTCCTCCTTCAGCTGATCTACCTGATGGGTCATAATCTTTAATTTTTTCTTCATTTCCGTTATTTCATCCTAACAAAATGAAAGGAGACGTGTTTGGAAGTGAATTAAATTGACACCACGGTCCCTATGGAAATTCAAATGTGCATTTGAGAACTTTTAAGGGAGGCCCTCTCAAAACAGTGGTCTCCTGACTACTTACGAAGGGGCTATTCCTTTGTATGCCATCAACCTCATGGTACTTTATAGCAGGAGCTCTCAAAATATTCTCATGAGATATTTACAAAGTATGTATAATGACTATACCAGACACACACACACACACACACACACACACACACACGCAAAAGAATGCGCACGCCCACTCACTTATTCCTCATTTTACAAGAGAGGAATTGGAATTACTACAAACATTATAACTAAAAGATTACAAAGCAAAGCTCTGCAACTAAATGACAAGAGTACGCCGCTGCCCTCCTACTCACAGCAACTATTAGCAGCTTTAAATTTTAGAAACAGGAGAATGGCAATGCTAAATAATAATTAAAAGCCGGACTGAGATAGTCAAGTTGAGTCATTTCCATTTCAAACAATCTGAGAGTTCTGAATAAAATTCAACTTTTTTTTCCCAAGATGAATTCCTCAAGATTATTTTCTTGATCTATTCTAAATTCTGCTATTAGTATGATAGAAATTGCTTTAAACCCAGAATGGGGAGGGAGGAATCAAAGTATTTATATATACAAAAGCCCAGTGACCAAACAGAGGAATGACCAGAACGACTCGCTATGATGCACACTGACTACCAGGAGGCAGACACTCAATGCAGGAGCTGACCCCTTGTGGTCAGTGCTTCCAACAATGAGAGTGCCCCTCGGCTGACAAGATGAGTGACTTTCCCACAGCTGTGGATCCCCGCAGGCTATGCCCCCTCCACCCAATGCATGAATCCGTGCACTGGGACTCTAGTAAAGACAAATATATTCTTTACCTGAGCTTCCACCAGATTTTTGCTGTACAGATTCCTGTCTGACCTCACAGCTTCATACAGGTTCTGTTGCTGTTTTAATTTAGTCTCTGATTCAGCGATTTTCTTTTTGTAGTCAAAAATCTGCATTTCGCGGACTTTTATGTCTTCCATGTTCATGAGGACCTGGAAGAGAAAGAATACAAAAATGGTTAAACAGCCCATTTGTGGTTATCAGTTCAGTACACAGACATTTTTATCCCAGGGTAGCTAGTAGAAATGCCAGCAATCAAAAAAATTGGACTGTGCCTCTAATCACTGAGGTACAACACAGAAATTCAGCCCTGCTGATTAGGGGCAAACACACGTTTTATCTATTCTGGAGTTATATTCGAGTATGAGCTAAGCACAGTTATTTTGTGATCACAAAAGGGGAGGGGCGGGAAATAAAGAAATCCTTTCAATTCTGAAAAACCTCTCCTGACCACCCCAAAAAAGAAAGGGGAAAAAGTCTCAGGTTTAAACAGATCTTAACACAGAGGGCTCAGAAAGATGAGAGATAAGTTAGCTGTTTGGCTACACTGCGGTCTTTGTAGTTAAACACAAGAAAGAAAAGTGGCCTTTACACACTGATAGCAATCACAACACTGTCATGCCACCGTCCATGTCACTCCATCAGGGAAACTCAAAGGACTTCACAAAAAATGTGTTCTATCCTGCACAAAACACTTCTGGGAAAGATAAGATTCGAGAATAACTGCCTCCTTTTTGCAAGTATGGAAAACTTAGGCACAAAATTCCACAGAGAGCCGGTACCTCTCAAGCAAGCAAGCCATAGAATGAGAGTTACATAATCATGACTCTTGGAGCTGCAATGTCCACAGAAATTGATATTTATAAACAAATTTCTTCAGAAATTCCTTAAATTTCTTAAATTATCATGTATTATACATTATCACGCATAATGACTATTATCATACAACTATAATCATTTATTAATCATTAACATTAATGTAAATTGTTAATTATTATGTTATTAACAACTATAATTATGTTATTTATTAACATTAATAAAAATGTTAGTGATTCAATCAGTGGAACTCTGGTCTAAACAATACACAGAATGAAAATACATAAAGAGAAATTTCTTAAGATGTCACTGCATTTTAGTGAAGTTCTCTTAATTCTTGTATAGAATGGAAGGAAATAAACAGAGCAGTGTGGTATAGAATAAAAGGACAGGGTGTACTTGAAGTAACACAGCCAGGGAGGTTCCTCTGATAAAGAGGAATTTTACCTAGAATTTAAAGGTCAAAAAGTACTTAGACCTCTGCCATGCTGATCTTCATTGATTCAGGTGTGGGCTACCTCTGAGAAGCATGTCCCCAAATCATTGCGCTACAGAATTCTTTTATTCCACGGGTGGAACTAATATTCTGGAGAATACACTTGGAGAAACCCTGTTGTTACATTTTTCCTTCAGAGTCAATGATGGCTGGTGTTTATATATCTTTAAATAAACACTTTTCAAAGTTTCCTTGAACTTATAATTAAGGAGAGATGGTATTAAATTTTAGCAAGTGTCTTTTCAGCAAATATTGTTTCATAGCATTTTATTTTATTAGGTTTATTGATTTGATATACTTGTATTCCTTTTACAAGTATTTTAATTTGATTTATTTATACACAACTGGAGGCCCGCTGCACGAAGATTCGTGGCAATAGACCTTCCTTCCCCTGGCTGCCAGCAGCCGGGACCCAGGCCGCAGCAGAGTCCAGCCATCAGCCTTCAGTTTCAGTCTTCACTCAGGCAGAGCCTTCAGCCTGCATATGCAATTTAATCTGCCATCTTTGGGGGGGTTAATTTGCATACTCATTCCTGATTGGCTGGTGGGCATCACAGGGATATAGTCAATTTGCATCTTTCTCTTTTATTACTGTAGATTCTGTGTGCCAAAATTTTAATTAAATGCATAAATGTGAAATATACATTTATTTTATTTTCCTTATTTACTTGGAACTTCCTTCTCTTTTGAACCCACATCAGCTCCTCATTGGTACATAAAGTAACCAGTATGTTTTCTTCCCTGTTTTCTTTGAATTCTGCATATTCTATTCAAGTCCAATAACATCATCATAGCTAATATTTCTCAGGTACTTTCTATGTAATTCATTTAATCTTCACAAAAATCCTATAAAATAGACATCATCATCACCCCACTGTTCAAAGAAGGAAACCAAAGACAAAAGAAGTAATGTCATTTACAACTATTCCACTAGTACACATACAGATACAGAAATTTGTTTTGTTTTCCTTGGTTTTGCTTTTGGGGGTTTTGTTTTTATGTTTTGGCAAAATGGGTCTTTTTATATACACTGAGTAGCCAGATTATTATGCTCTCTGAAAGCATGCCTGGTGCATGAATTTGTGCTTGGGTAGGGTCTGGCCAGCCTGGCCAGGGGAAGGGGACATGGGTGGTTGGCCGGCCTGCCTGCTGGTCGAACTCCTGATCGAGGGGACAATTTGCATATTAGCCTTTTATTATAAAGGATATACACTGAGTGTCCATATTATTACGCATTCAGAGATCATAATAATCTGGCCACTCAGTGTATACTTTTATGCACCTTGCTTTCTATCATTCAATAATACTTTGTGGAAATCATGTGAACTAGCTCTAATTCATTCTCTTTAAGTTGGTGTAAAACCCCATAGTGTGGGTGTACTATCCTATACTCAGCTCTTCCCTTCTGAGAGCCATTAACTTGGTTTCCACAGTCTTGTCACTATGAACCGTGCAGCAATGAACAGCGTTGTACATATGTCCTTTTACTTCTTCCACTTGTGCTTTTACTTCTGCTGGGATGGATCCCCAGGAGTGGCATATCTGACTCAAAAGAAATATATCTTTTTAAACTTTAATAGATATTGCTAGATTGCTTTCCAAAATGGTTGGAACACTGCACATACCCATACTACCAGCAATAGTTTCTTTAATAGAAAACTCTCCTTGTGGTTTTGGGATAAACTCTCTTTGGTCATAGTGGATGATTCTTTTAATGTTCTGTTGAATTTGGTTAGCTAGAATTTCATTTGGGATTCTACATACATATTCATAAATGATCTAACTCAATCCCCTTCTTTTTGGTTCTATTTTAAAATCAAAGTTTCTGCTGGTTTCAGAAAATGAACAGAATCTCCTTCTGTTCACTTATTAATTCACTTACCCATTTATTCATTCCATCAATAGACATGTAATTGAGGGCTTTCCTAGGGCAAGCACTGTAAAAGCACTAGTTGTGTAAAGAAGAAGGCTCATTGCCAACCCTCAAGATCACCTCTAGTGAGTGACTCAACCATAAAATGGATAATCAGGGAATGGATACAACCAGTAAACTGAGATATGCACAGAATGTTATGAGGGTCTGAGGATGGTCCTACTCATCTTATCTAAGCAGTTAATATTGAGCATTTATAGAATTTGTGGGATCTGCCTCTGTCTTCATATTCAATCATTCCAACCTTGGACTCTGAGCTCTTTCCTGGTCCTGGAATCATTATTCATTATCACTGCAGAAAGCATGGGTAATATCAGCACAGCAATGCCTATCAATATTACCCCAAAGAATACAAAGTGCATGAACAGCACTTTTCTAAATTTATTTGCAAATATAAATATAAATATAAATAGCCTGGGAATTATCTGATTCTTAAGAGTCTGAAAAACTCAACTCTATAATCATTAGGCCCTCGACAATGTTGGAGCTAAATTTCTCTCAACTTTTTTGGTAGCATCCATAGTTATTGATCTTTCCACATTTTCTACTTCTTCTTGGGTCAAACCATGATGTACATACACATTTTTTAGAGAACTATTTCAAACCATTTTTAAAATGTTTATGTCTAGAGTTGTACAACATAAATTTATGCTTTTAGTATTTTACTGTTACTATTTGCTATCAACACTGTTTGGGGGGAAAATGGTCCAAGGTAAGAATATATGCAGACTCAGAAGTAGATATCTTGAAAGGTTGGGGCCTAGAAAGAATAAAATTAGCTGATCTGGTTCAGTGGCTAGAGTGTCAGCCTGTGGACTGAAGAATCCCAGGTTCAATTCTGGCCAAGGGCACATTCCTGGATTGTGGGCTTGATCTCCAGTAGGGGGCATACAGGAGGCAGCCAATCAATGATTGTCTCTCATCATTGATACTTTTATCTCTTTCCCTCTCCCTTCCTCTCTGAAATCAATAAAGATATATACATTTTTTTAAATTAGAAGACCTATGACAAGGAGGTCTGGGGAAGAGGCATGTGAATAGATCTGAAATGAAAAGAAATTCCCTTCCTTCTTCAAAGTCTTTGATTCATATCTCCAGGTTCCTTAAAAATGAGTAGTAGATGGCCTTTCAAGATACCACCACTAGAAAATGTGAAACCTTAATAAGGTATCCATGACCGGATCTGTTATTTGCTTGATTTTTTTTTTTAAATGCACCTTTCTCTGAACATGATCACCCTCTTCGGGGTCAGTGAAATGAATAGACTGAAAATACTTTGAATAGCATGATCAGCTTTTGGAATATCAAGAGGCCCATCAGAGAAAAGAAAAAAAAATCTTCAATCACTTTGAGAGATGTTATAATAATCCTTCGCACAGACAGAATAATGCTCCAGAGAAAGGATTCCCACTTCTTCTGGGGCATCACCTGGCAGGGTCCACCTCTCTGCAACAACAATGCACAATTCTCACTTCTGCATACTTGAAGCTGGGAGCAATAAGAACCCATCGTGATACCAAGAAGATCAAAGGCATTCCAGTTAAATGACAATGAAAACATAAGGACTGAAACTAAGGGAAAAGACAATTCACAAAGCCATCTAGTTCTGTGTGTTGAGAGCCAACCTTTTTTTTTAAGGAAATCATTCAGAGCAATGTTGAAGTTCCAGTCCTGAAAATTCATAAACCGTGCGGGGTGTGAAGTAGGAGCAAAACCTTTCATCAGCAAAATGTCCCCCCATTAAAAATGGTTTATCAGAGAATGTGGGGTGCCAGCTGTGGGGCTGGAACCAAATTAGTTGATTACACTTTAGATATCTCACCCCAACACATGAGATAAATCACACCCAAATATAGAAGCTTTTATCACAGCCAGAGAGCTGGAGCTCCCGGCACTCGCAGGCCTGC